CGCAGGTCCCGCAGCCCGAGCCCTCCCTTCCCACCGCCAGTGCTTAAGCCCGGCCTGAAACCCAGCGGGAGCACCTGTCCCCTCAGGACCTCTCCTCCTAGTGAGGTTTGTCCCTCTCATTCTCTCCCTTTTTACCCTTTCCCCTCTTCTCCGTGTGTAAAGCGACTAGTAGGAATTATGAAATTGGCGTTAACGGCGTTAACGACATCCGAGTGTATTGCATGGGTAGTCCCGAACTTGCTGCGCTGACTTTATCGCTTGTAAGGACAACGAACAGAAAATATTTAGCGAGACGTTTTTCAAGCGCTGATGTGCTTTCACTCCCCAGTCTGATCCAGCCCCATCCCCGCCCTCAGAAAGGCCCCCACATCCAAACTCTCCTTTTTCTTTCTTTCTTTTTTTTTTTTTTTTTGGTAAAAGACATGCAGACTAATGAGATTAAATCTGAAAGCTTTTCATTTGCAGCAGATGAAATTAGAGCATACCTAAATCTTTTTCGTGTTTAGGCTTGTTTTTCTTACTCGAGTACACTTCACCTAATAAAATTTTAAAGAAGCTGGATTAGGTAACTTTGAATGGTAATACCTTACTGTTTCCTGGACGATATACTGTGGGGGGCAAAAGGGGTGTTGAATGTGATGTTGGGAGTTTTGTAAGGAGTATTTTCATTATAGGGTGTGTAAGAACCTAAGGAGCAAGAGCTGACAACCTCCTGTCCTTGAGGGAATTAACTCCCCCTCCACCAGCTTCCAATATTTGGAAAGCTGCTTTTCTGGTTACAATTATTATTATCACATAGTTAGATGACTCTCATGTATTTGTTGACACTGTGCTGAAATATGCTTCAGGTATGTGTAGCTTTGCTAAAATTTCAGCATGAGAAGTATCCTTTTAAAACATCTTTCTGCTCTCAGAGGGTTTGGTGAATATTTTAAGTCCTCCGACAGCCTTTATTTACACTGCAAAGATGCTGTCACTAAGAAGTAGTATGAAAGACTGAATTCCATAGTTAACCAAAGTTCACAAATTAAGGGATAAATTTAGACTTGTGTTCACACAGGCAATACCTGGAAATGTTAGTGGGTGGTTAGCTCAGAGGTCAGAGCTTAGAAAATGGTATTTGGGAAAATACCAATTTTATTTTTTTCCCCCCTTTAATTCTTTCCTGGCTCTTTTTTTAGATTAGGTAAAATTGGTGCTTTGGATTGAAAAGTTTGATATTTTTTCTTTAGCAAGATGTCCTAGCACAGGCGAGTAAGTTTAAATTGATGTTAGTTGCTCGTGGCATAATCTACAGGAGAAAATAGGGTCATCCGTCAGCAAGTTTTTCTCTGCTGCTTGCAAAGTGATGCTTCAAGTAGCTAATGTCTTCTGGAAACAGCATTTCCCATTTCTTTGCCTAAGCAAGGACAATTAGTTTAATAGGCATAGGGAAGGCCCTCTTTTTGAAAATTGTATTAGCTGTTTCATGAAAGAAAACCATTGTTTAAATTGGGCTGAATCTACTTTTGCAATAGGAACTTGAATGTTTTTGAGGGGAGGATTTAAAAATTACAGTGACTAGATCTAAGCGGGCTGTGAAGACACATACAGTAACCTGGATTCACCCCCTTTCTCAGCTATATGAACACGCTTAATTGTGACAAAGGTTAAAACTTAAGTTGTTCTCTGGTTTTTGTTGGCTTTTTTTTTCTTTTGTAGAGCACAAACTGAGTATTGAAAAGATTCTTTCATGCACATGGCAGCTTTAGTGGAGATGAATACAAAACTTTAATCAGTATTACTCTTCTCTATATAAGAAATCACTATGCTAATGTGAGGAGAATTTGATAAGACGAATATTTTGTAAAGTGACTTTCCTATTAAGAATCTATTTAGAATCATAGAATAGTTTGGGTTGGAAAGGACCTTAAGTTTATCTACTTCCAACCCCCCTACCATAGACGCCTCATACTAGACCATGTCGCCCAAGGCTCTGTCCAACCTGGCCGTGAACACTGCCAGTGATGGACCATTTACCACTTCTTTGGGCAACCCATTCCAGTGCCTCACCACCCTCACTGTAAAGAACTTCTTCCTTATATCTAACCTGAACTTCCCCTGTTTAAGTTTGAACCCATTACCCCTTGTCCTGTTGCTACAGTCTCTGATGAAGAGTCCCTCTCCAGCATGCTTGCAGGCCCCCTTCAGATACTGGAAGGCTGCTACGAGGTCTCCACACAGTCTTCACTTCTCTAGGCTGAACAGCCCTAATTTCCTTTTTAATCTGATATGCCATCAAATAATTTTGTAACCCTTCAAAAGGGGTTGCAGTGAGGTGGCAGTGTTTGATTAAGTTCATCAGGAGTAACAGGAACTAGAGGAACTGATGTTGTTTGTGCTTGGTTGTACTCTGGGTTGGAGGGACAGGCCTGGGGACAGACAAAGAGTATTAAGAGTCTCTGGAGCCACAGTAGTAGCTGGAAACGCAGTTACGGGGGATGCATGAGAAACACATTAAAGCAGTGGGATGTTACCACCAGTCTTTGACACCTTATCTGTGAAAGTTAATAGCTGATGGAGACGTATCGTGAAAGCTACTATTAGAGTATGGGAAATCTTGCTTGTGAAGACAGCCTGAAAAAGAAAACGATGAGTAGTATAGATACAGTGGTAGGAACATTCCTCATTCTAAAACACGGGGGGGAAGAGCTGTTTTGCATCTTCAAAACTTACTGAAACTTCTTTATAGATTGCCCTGTGGAATTCTCTGTTACAGTAAAAGCCAGATCTGCTCAAAAGACCTTTTAAAGTGTCCTTAGTTAAATTAAGTGGGCTTTTTCTGTTTTGTTGAAGAGAAGCTTTTAACTTGAAATATATTCCTGAATGCATGATTAACCTGTAAATATTAAGGAATAAATGTTTTGGGTTTTTTCTCCCC